TTCATTTTACTTTTAAATACGTGGCTACAAGAAAACCTAAAATTACATACGCAGCTTACAGTATATTGTCACCAAACAGCAGTGTTCTAAGGATAATTTCTTTTCCAAATGAGTTTGCAAGCTTTGATGAGAAAGAGTTGGGAGAGAAAGAAAAACTGGGATTAGAAGGTGGGAGGAAGGGAGAGAGTGAACAAAGAAAAATAATAAATATATGTCCTGGGTATTGGGGACAATTTGGAAAATTTGGTGGTAAAACTCCATTGGATGCAGATTATGGGGAATTTAAGAAGTGTCCTTCAAGTGAAGACTCTGATGATGCCCTGTAGAGTTCTTTTAGAGATTTACATTGCTAAAGATTGGAATGTATGTCTGATTTTTTCTCAGTTCCTGGATTACCTTCTTAGATTATAATTCTAGGAAACTGACTCTCCTGAGGACCTCATGATTTATTTGGGATACTTTATTATTCTAAAAATTCACTGAATTAGTCCACAAAGCTTTCTAGGATTTTCCTTTCCATTCATTTCTCCCGTTTCAATTCTTCCAAGTGGGACCCAGAGTAACAAATGGAAGGTGGTTTGCTCAGCACTGGGAGGACCCCTCCAGATTCCAAACCCTTCCCAGCCCCACTCTGTCTCTTGCCTGGTTAGACCTCATAAGGCATTCCTGTATGATTGATGGGTATGAAGTAATGCAGATCTTATCCTACTGGGGCTTTATCACCCATGAGGCTCTTTATTTATTTATTTTTAGTTGCAGTTAAACACAATACCTTTATTTTATTTATTTTTTTTTTGTGGTGCTGAGGATCAAACCCAGGCCCTCGCACGTGCTAGGTGAGCACTCTACCGCTGAGCTACAACCCCAGCCCCAAAGGTCTTTTTTTTAAAAAAAAAAAGAAAAGATAAGAAGTCATTTGCTTAATGAGATGCCACTTTCCTACCCTCCTCATATATTAATTATTCAGGCCTTCCCCTTGTACTTTCTGGAGACTCATTCTAATGGACTTTGGTATATATATCCTGGCAATAACATAGAATAATGTCATGTGATAAGAGCATAAGGGTATGGTTTCCTTTTCTGTGCAAAAAAACACAGAAACCATGAGGAAAAGCTTGTGTTAACAGCTTTCCAATGTCCAATCTTTCCAAGGCTGAATCCTTGGGTGTCAGTTCAGATATCACTTCCTTTCCTGAATACCTAGTCTAGAATAGCAATTTCACAGGGCTGGGGATGTGGCTCGAGTGGTAGCGCGCTCACCTGGCATGCATGCGGCCCGGGTTCGATTCTCAGCACCACATACAAACAAAGATGTTGTGTCCACCGAAAACTAAAAAAAAATAATAATAATAGAATAGCAATTTCTCTGCCTCACTCTACAAAACACTATAGTGTTTTCCATTTTCTTCATAAAATTTACTGTAACCTTAAATTTTCTTGTTTACTTATTTACTGTCTTTCCTATTAGAACATGAACTCCATGGGGGTAGAAATTCTTTCTCTAGTATTTGGCACATATGAAGTGATCAATAATTATTTGTTGGGTTGCAGGGGAGGAGGCACAACACAGTGGTAGAGTGCTTGCTTAGTGTAAACAAAGCCCTGGCTTGGATCCCCAGCATCACAATAAAAAAAATCATCAATATCATTATTATTTTTGAATGAATAAAAGTGAAAGAGAGAGAGAGAACCACACACACAGAGAGAGAGAGAGAGAGAGAGAGAGAGAGAGAGAGAGAGAGCAGGAAGACTTTGTGAGGCCTTAGGACAGGAATCATGTCCTCTTTTCTCTTGGGGAGCAATGCAACTGCAATTACTCACATACTCATCAGAAACAGCAGAATGTTTAATGAAGCCACAAGCAGTTGAGGGCCTTACAGGAAGTCTGCTCAATATATCTAAAAGACAAAGGCAATGTGACCTGCTTTTGGTCTATTTGCTCCAGGAAATAGTACTCTCATTATTTTGTTTCATGGTGAAAGTGGCCAAAATGGGTAGACTGCCTTGGAATAGGTTCTTGCCAAAGGGATTAGAATAGAGGGAGGGAGAAACAATTAATGTGAAGTTGATGACTCTAAACTTCAAAAAGGTATACACAATAGCAGGAAACAAAGCCAAAGCATGAGGAGTGGTTTGCACAGCAAACCCTCAGGGGTATGCCTTGGTTCGCAGGGAAGATGCAAGTGCAATCAGATGTGGCCCAGGAATGATGTGATATTGTGGAACATGAAGTTAATGGGATCATTAATGATGCAGATGTACCTAGATTTCAAGGAGATGTAGCCTATTAGGAAGGTCATTCCTGATTTTGTTTTGGCACAATGTCAGACAGAAATGTGTGTGGTCTCGGAGCACTCGATTGGGAAGGAATAAACCCAGATGAACCTGTCTGGAGGAAACAGACCAAAAGCAGGTTGGTAAGCCTGCCCTTCCTCAAGTAAACACCTGCAAGTCTTGGGAAGGTGGGCTGCCAGCTGGGATATGCATTGGCATGAGCTCTTTACCTTTCAAAATAGTTTGGATCTGTTATCATTTTACTTCTATTTCAAACCTGTGAGGTTGGGAGGGCAGTTGCTATTTTCAAAGACATTTATAAATGTAGACACTGAAGCACAGGGTAGGTGGCTTGTCCAAAGCCATCTTGCTTAAAATAATGGGAAAATCAGTTCTTTGTTTACTAGGTTTCTAAAACCGTGGAATCCCTGCATTAGAATCACCGGAGGAACATGCTAAAAAATTTATATCCACTTCAGGGGAAGAAAAAATATCTTTTTCTTCTTTACCCCTCTGAGTTGTTATCTGGGGCTTCTGTAACAAAAGACAGATTAACAAAAGCATACAAATTTATTTTGATTTTTTTTTTCACAGCACTGGGGATTGAACCCAAGTCTTATGTGTATGTTAGGCAAGTGCTCTGCCACTGAGCTATATCCCCAGCCCAGACAAATTTATTTAATGTAATTTTATATGATATGACAGCTTTCGCAAAAAAATAAAGACCTAAAGAAGTTAATCTTGAGTGTTTTATCATGAAGAATGAAGAGTGGTGGAGACATGTGATAGGACAAAAGTGTTTGAGCTATGTGGAGTGGAGTAGGGGACACACCATTCAGGCTCCTCTCTTTGTCCCTTCATCATCAGAGGTCAGATGCTCCTTCCTCCAGTCATAGGGAGGGCACATCTCACGTGAAGGTCTTATGATCTGCTTCTGGGGAGAGTCATAAAAGTCTTTCCTGTGTATGTCATTTCTCCAACTCCTTAAACTTAAATAGTTTAATAATGCCAAGGTAGTATGTCCTGACCTGGACGACACACTCAAGAACTTCTTAATCAGGGAATATCTAGGTCAGGGCCCAGAAACCTGCACTTATTATGAACTCCATGTGATTCTTACATATACTAATGATTCAGCAGAGCAAGCCATCCTTAACCCCAAGGCAGTGTAATCCATGGGGCCATTGGTACAATTCTGAACTCATCTATTCCTGTGCTCTTTTCCTCAAACAGAGTCCCTCTTTGAACTGGAAACACAGTGAGTTCCTTAGAAGAAAGTGTTGTATTGATTGTAAATAGAAGAGTGAACAAATGTTGACAGGGACTATTTGAAGCTCTGGCAAGGAACACTTGCTAAAATAATCTTAATTAAATTTTAGATTGTATAACATGGCAAAGCCTGGGAATCTGCTCTTCAGTGGTTAAAGTAACATGTAACCCAACTGGCTGATCAAGTGTTCCAAGACTAAAAAGAACTGACAAAGAGCTTTAGAGTCATTGCAACTGGCAAAACCAAAGCTCCATTGGCAGGCTAAAGGGTTGTTGAAACAAGATATGCTGCAACAAGTTCTGGAGTGAAATAAGAAAAGCATTTCAAACAGCTGTTGAAAGTTTACAAAATTGGAATGGGGAAGGGCCCATCACAACATACAAAACAATTTAAGGAAATACCAAGGGCCAATAGAGAGCGGATTCTTGGGGAGAAGGGAACAGGATTTATAATTTATTTATTTTTTTTTTTGATGCTGATAATTGAACCTAATGGTGCTATACTACTGGGCTACATCCCCACCCCTTTTTATTTTTTGCTTTGAGACAGTCTCACTAAGTTGCTGAGGGCCTTGCTAAGTTTCTGAGGCTGGCCACAAACTTGCAATCCTCCTGCCTCAGTCTAGTCTCCTGAGTTGCTGGGATCATAGGCATACACCACTGTACCAGACTATAATTCATTTTTAATGTAAAAAATTCAGTTAGTATGAGTCAATAACATTAGTATCCCTACTTCGGACTATATAGTAATTTAGTCCTGTAGGTGTCAATGTAAGGTCTAGGGTAATCCCTTACATTTGTGGAGCTCTTTACAATTTAAAATCCTTCATGTCATTACTCTCATGTGACCCTACTTCACCTTAAAGGTCTCAAAGCCCTTCCATCATATTTCTTATTTATAATCTTTACCACTGCTTTGCAATGTTTATCATCCCCATTTTGCAGGGAAATTTTTGAAAAAAATATGGTCTCATAAAATTAAGGATCTGCCCAAGTTTACCCAATTGATTTATGAAGAAGCTCGCTCAACTTTAGGGCTTTCTCATTTCCACACCCTGTTATTTATGCTTGCAAAAAAAAGTAGCATTTAGCTCAGAGAACCACAGCACTTGAGGACAAGAAGCCTCCTCCCATTTGACAGAAATAAAAACTAAAACACAATAAATCTGGGGCTTTGCCCTAAGTCACATGGTTATCAGTAGAGCTATATTATTTCAGAACTTGTTCTACTTTGCTTGCTTCGTCTCATACTTTTTGGGTTGCTAGATATAAACCACACATGTTAACTTAGAATATCAGAATAAATGCATTTAATATCTGTCCTCTGAAGTATGGGAGCCTAGTAGGTTAAAAAATCCCTTCAGTTTGATTTAAAATGGCATCACTGGCATTTATTGACTTTAAAAGCTTGGATCTTTCAGCTTCTCACATTTTGATATTATAATCAATATACTTACCACATTAACAGTGCAGAAACGCTTACTCTGAGAAGTGCCCAAGTTTCTCTTTTTGGTATAGATGACTGTATGCTCCAGATGATGTCAAGATTAAAGGAGTAGTTTTATTAGACTTTTGGTAAAAGGGAGAGAATAATGGGAAGAAAACCAGATTAAAAACATTATTTCTAAAATTACCTGTTATTAAAGGCTGCATGAATTCTAATCCCAGAACAAAATGTAAAAATTAGTGTGCCTTGCAGGGATGTAATCAGATAATTGTACACCTATGTTCATAGTAGCATTATTCACAATAGCCCAAAGGTGGAAGCAGCCCAAGTGTCCACCAACAGATGAACGTATTATAAATAAGGTATATTCTATACATATAATGGAATATTATTCAGCCTTAAAATGCAGGAAATGCTGACCATGCAACCACATGGATGAATCTCAAAAACATTCTGTTAATGAATGAAGCCATCAGAAAAGGACAAAGTAATGGATAATTCCTTACATGATATTCTTAGAGGAGGAAAATTCATAAAGACAGAAAGTAGAATGGTGGTTGCCAGGCACTAAGGGGAAGGGAAAATGGGAAGTTAGTGTTGAACAGGTTCAGTGTTTCGGCTTGGAAAGATGAAAATTTCTGTAGAAGGATGATGCTGATGGTCACACTATAAATGTACCTAAAGCCATTGAACTGTACACAGTCAAGAATGGTTAAAGCCAGGCGAGGTGGCACATGCCTGTAATCTCAGTGGCTCGGGAGGCTGAGGCAGGAAGACCACAAGTTCAAAGCCAGCCTCAGCAAAGGTGAAGCACTAAGCAACTCAGTGAGACCCTGTCTCTAAATAAAATACAAAATAGGGCTGGGGGTGTGGCTCAGTGGTTGAGTGCCCCTGAGTTCAATCCCCAGTACCAAAGGGGGGGGGGGGGGGAAGAAGAAGAATGGTTAAAATGATAACTCTTATGTTTTATATATGTATATGTTTATTTATTTATTTATTTTTTACTACAATAAACAACAACAACAACATCAAAAAAAAGGAGCGAACCTTCTTTTTGAGTTTCCTTCCTCCCTCACACCCTCTAGGCAGTAGGTCTGTGCCTTGGGACAGCCCAGGGGCTCCAGCTCAAGTTCCAGGGTTTTTTTATCCTTCTTCAAAACTTCACTGAAAACACCATCACAAGTCAAATCCAGAAAGTGAAACTCTAGAAGACAGAAGGCCTTGTTGCTTCAGAGGTCAGTGCCCCTAAAAGGATGGGAAGTGTTACAGTGTGGATATGGTTTGTCCCCTTTGAAGTTAGTGTTGGAATTTGATTCCCAATGTAACAGAGTTGAGAGGTGGTAGGGACTTTGAAGAGGCAGTTAGGTTGTTAAAGAGGAATTAATATGGTTCTCCCAGGACTGGATTCATGGTGGGAAGAATGAGTCACTATAAAGCAAGGCCATACCTCCTGTTTTGCTTTATCCACACACTCTCACTGGCCCTCTGCATTTTCACCCTGTTAGGATGCAGCACCAAGGCCTCACCAGAAGCAAGGAGGGGCTGGCATGATGCTCTTGGACTTCTCAGCCTCCCAAACTGTAAGCCAAATAAACCATTTTGCTTTATAAATCTTCCAGTCACAGATATCCTATTATAGCAATAGGAAACAGACAAAGACAGGGAAATTATTCTAGATTTAAAGCCTTTAAAGAGACAGAAACACAGTACATGCATGAACTATGATTGGTTCCTAATTGGAAAAAACAGAAATAAAAGACATTTGGGGAGCAACTAAAGAAATTTAAATATGGACTCAATATTAAATAATATTAAAAAACCATTGTCAGGTATTTTAGATGTGGTAATGGTATTATGATTATTTAAGAGAAGCTACATGCTGAAGTATTTAGGTGTGAAATGTCGTGATACTTGCAGCTTACTTTCAAATTATTAAGGAGAAAATATATGCATTTACACAATGGTAAAACAACAGCACACACACACACCACTAATAACAGCAAAAGAAAAATTGACAAAGCCATAGATAAAACAATTTTTTAACCTGAATTATGTATATAAAGGTGTTCATTGTATTAGTTTTTGAAAGTTTTTATATATTTCATTATTTTTATTATGAAACATTATATTGAGTACTCAGGCCTGTTCGGTTGTAGAGCGCTTGCTTGGTATGTTCAATCCTAGCTCTGCAAAAAAAAAAAAAAAAAAAAAAAAATTGAGTAAAAACCACCATCATCACTGGTTCCCGAGTGTTCAGAGGATCCCAGACTCTTTGTCCAACCATTACAAACACTATTTCATTTGATTCTCAAATGTTGTATAAAGATGGGACTGTCACTACCTTCGCTTTTACAGATGATGAAGTAACTTTTCCAGGACTACACAACTTCAAATCTGGAAGTACAGAAGTTGGAGGCATAGGAGATGAGTATAGACCCCTCAAATCATGGCTATTAGGGGTGTGTCAACCACCTAGGAGCAGGGTCTACATAGGCTCAGTGCCCAGAGTAATATATTGTTTCTATCATTTGTATTCTAGAGATGAAGCTGGATATTTTGCCCCTCCCGGGGAAGCACAGAGTGTTTTGTAGCTATTATCTCATGTGCAGCCTTAGGCAATCTGGGAAACCGTGCAAATGCTGTAATTCTTTCTAGTTTCAGCTCCAGAGGCTTGCCTGAGGCTCCTGTCTCTGTGGTCATCACCTGGCTCCTTTTGACAGCAACAACAATAAATATAGTAGTTAACATTTATATACCATTTGCTCTGTGCCAAGCACCCTTTTAACAGATCCCCGTGAGGTTCCTATTGAGTAGATATGTTAATATCCCCATTTTAGAGAAGAGAACATTGAGGCACAAACATAAGCCACATAGGTAGTAAGTAAATACTCATTATTTCAACCAGAGTTGGAAGAGAATGTTGATCCAGAGGAAACCCCAAATCTGCCTAATGGTTCTTAGCTCTCCTAGGGAGAACTTTGTTGCAGTACTTGTCCCCAACCATGTCAATTTAATGATGCTTCCAACTTCTACCCCACTGGCACCAAAGGGTGTCACTGTCACATCCTTAGTGCCTGTGGTGATAGGCAAAAGTATGACATCTGCAGTTGAGGGGAGAAATGAAGAATTTCCACGCACTAATGCCCTTTTCAATGCTTTATTCACTCAAATCACTCAATACAATTTCACTCCAGAGGTTATTTTCTTTTTAAAAATATGTTTTAGTTGTAGATTGACACAATATCTTTATTTATTTATCTTTATATGGTACTGTGGATCGAACTCAGTGCCTCACTCATTCTAGGTGTGTGCTCTACCACTGAGCCACAACCCCAGCCCCAACTCTATAAGTTCTTAATCAAGAAAATGACAATCTTTAATGCTGGGCACTGCAATAGACATAATCAATTCATAGCAAACAATTCTAAGTTAATCCTAAGCACTGCAAACACACTTAATCATGACAGACATTCCCTCTGCATGCTAAGCTCAAGTGCCAGATCTAGAGTCTCAAGTCTTAGGCCTTAAGTCCAGCAGATGCACATTCACTCAGACCTCAGTGATCAAGTCAGGAACTGATGGAGTCTTCTCCTGAGCTGATGGCCGGTTAAGGAGAGGGTCATAAGGAGAAGTCACCGTTCTCACCAGGGTCAAGATGTGACTGTAGAGTTTGAGAGCTGGGAGGATGATGCAGAGGATCAGGCAGATGATGAGAAAAATTGGGATGTCAGTCCAGGTCCTCATAAGGCTCTCTGGCATGTGGGCATCAGTGTTGGCTGGCTGAATGTCTGCTCATTTGCTCCATCATTTACACTAAATTTTGGTGCTTCTGCTCACCATTTCAGTCCCTATCAGCTGTTACTGGGTTTATTAGTGATGTTTTTCATTCTAAGGTCAGGATATGCGATTTGGTGGTTTCCACCCTGATCTCACACCTCTGATTCTTATCAGGACGAAACCAAATGACAATGACTTCATTCTGAGTTTTATCAGGATTTTGGAGAGTGAGTTGTCTTTATCAGGCTATGCCTAATGGCATACTGGAGGGCTCTGTAGGCTGGTGCCTGGTGGGACTGCAGATTTCTTTAAAATGGAGTTGCTTAGGCTAAGGCCACCCTTACAGTGCCTTTGCCAAATATATGACCTGCTCTTTCTAAATTTGACCTTTGAGTCTTTGTTTCTTATAAAACAGCAATAACTCCCAGGTGGCTTGATATCTGATCTAATCACCCCACTCTGCTACTTACTAGCCACCCTAACAAACTACAGAAAACTAGCGTGCTCATCTTCCACATAAGGAAGGAAGCCTTCCTGGTCAGCCTCACTTGGTAGACTCAACCACAATGCTAGCAGCTGGCTTTGACTATGTAAAAGTGGTGAAGAGCTGGGCTTCTCCAACCCCATCCATGTTCTCCCTCCTGCCACATCAGGAAGTACCAGATGAACCTGTTCACAGTAAGATGTTAACCATACTTGTAGCTCTCCCAAAAGGACATCCTAATATGGGATCCTTTGTAGCAGCAATGTTTCACCCAAAGAAGTGACTCTCTGGTGACAAATGATAATTCAATAGGGCTTATTATCCTTTCTACTGTCAGAAAAAAAGAAAAAGGGGAGGGGGAGTGAGTTCCCCTTCACTACCCTCCTCACACCACAGTGAGCCAAGGCTTGGTGTTCAGTGGTATTTGTCCCTCATTTTATCTGGTGTGGGAGTTACTGGCAGCTAATGGCTTCTCTATAATTCAGGGGTCAAGCCCAAGAAGGAAATAAGCTACAGGTGCTTCAGAGGATAGAATGAGGATGTGAGGAAAGAAGCTGGGGTTTCTTGGGTGAGAGAGAGTTAAGTTTTTTTTTTTTTTTTTAAGTCTGGGAGGACATTCAAGGACATCCTCAAATAGTGGAGACTTGGGCCTTTTCCACACAGGATCCTAGGGGAGCCATTGGTGCCTGGCAGTCAGGCCACTGGCATGTCTCTGTAGGAGGGTCTTGAGCAGCAATGTGGTTGAAGGCTAGGAGGAGAAGAGGATGCTCTAAGCTGTTTACATGGCTGTATATATGAAAATGAGAAAATATTTAGCAAAGAATGAGGATGCTGATGCAGATTATAGGGGGAAGGTCCAAAGTCTCCTCAAACTTCTTCCACCACCATCATCCACTCAGCACGCGACTAATGCCTCAGGGACAATCTCTAACTCTATGACCTTGAAAACATAGACAAGAGCAAGGGCCCCCAGAGTATGCAGGCAAAGTAGGTACCATGAGGGGGAATTTTTTAGTCTAATAACTGCATCGCATAACAAAGAAGCAATATTAATAATGATTTTATTGACTAACTCAGACCCCTGCCCTATATCTCCATTACCAAGTAGGCCTGAATTCTAGAACTGCCCAACAGCAGGGAAGAGGAAACTTCAGTAACAATATCAGGGATCCCACCGGTCAGGCACAGGTAGAGTCCAGAGCATGATTTCACTTGATTTGGAAAAATAAAGAGTTGTGTGTTTCCTTGCTCCTTGGTAAGTAGAGTGAACACATACCTATTATTTAGGTATGGGGTGGGGGAGATAGAAATAGTTAGAATGATCCTCAAATCATCAGGCAGCTGGAGAAGCTGCCAGGCTCTGCCCTCCTGCATTTATTTGCCTTTAGTTGACAAAGACAAATTAGCCCAGTACCTCTTGAGCCAGAGTTTGCAATGCAGAGTCTGCAAGAATGTTTACTTGGGGAGCCACACTGTTCTTTATCTCAGCAGGTGTAATTCCATCACATGATTGTCTGGATCTGCTTTTCCCTGCTTGGCTCCAAACAGCTTGCCAATTCAGAAAGCCATGGCTGAGAAATAAATAGTCCTTCTCTGAGTCAGCCCAGAAAACACTGGGGGTCCCTTTATGTATTATAATGAGCACTTCCTGACTCCTAGGGTTAGAGAAGGCCTCTCTCTCTACCCCTGAGGCCTACTAGCCAGAACTTTCTCTTTGCAAGCAATTCACTGGCCTCCACCAGAAAAACCAGTCAGGAGTCCTGCAGATTAACCCTGCCCTGGTCCCCAGCAGAACAGTTCAAGAAGAAAGACTAGGACCTCTGTGGGGACACAGCCATAGAGCTAAGAGTTGTGCTGCTTTGGAAACTTCTAGTACAACCTTGGCATTTCTAGCCTGAGAGTTATTTCTATTTCAGTTTAAGGTTATCTTGGACAGGTAGTTTTCACTTTCTGGAAAATGCTAACAAGAAAACCAAGAGGAGGGGCCTCCTCAGCCAGAGCCCAGACATCTCAGCATTCATACCAGGAGCAGACACAAGGTGAGCTTTGTGAAGGCTGGCACCTAAAAGACTTGGGAAGTCTTGTGAAGCCAGGTCAGGGGCTCACTTTCCTTTTTCAGGCTACAGAAGTTCCTTTGGGCCGTTTGCTTCAAGACTAAGCTGGTTTGGAAGACTCAGGATTCTACACCATCTGACAGAGACCAAGAAAGCAGATACTGTGGTCAAGTTCAAAGGACCCCTCAGGGTCAGACCTTTGTGATGATTGTAATGTGTCATTTGATTCAAGTGCTCCTAAAAAGACTTCTTGTTCAATAAGCTCTTATATAAATATTATCATAGCAAAAAAACAAAAGTTTTAAAACTCTGAACACCCTTACTAATCAATCACTTTCATTTGTCTGTTCTCCCTGCCTGTCTTTGTCCACGTACACACACATATTTTTTAAAGCTACTTTCACAACATAGATAACCTGACCATTTAATAACATCACTACTACTGTTCAGCCTTTCATTTTGTATCTCAGTGGTTTTAAAAGTTGAATGTGCCTCATTTGGAAAGCTTGTTTAAAATTCAGATTTCTGGGCTCCTTCTGGAATGTGACCTGATTTTGTAAGTCTGGGGTGGGGCATGCAGTTGTCCCTCCTCACCCCTACCATACAAGATGGTAACAGTTAATGATGTTATGTTTCTTAGAAACATACTGCAAGTTTACATATGAGAGATAGAAAAGAAAGTCGTTTTACTGTTTTCTTCGTGCTTGTTAAGATATGCAGAGCCACTCTTTGTCTCTTAGCTATCTCAGATGGATCTTGGATTTTCTCCATTCTCCACCTTCTCTACCCTGCTCTCTGCCCAGAGAGGCTGAGTCATGTG